TGTTTGTTGTCCCAGAGAGAATTCTTTACACTCAGGAGAGAGGTGCAGAAGCATCACTGACAGACAGCACAACAGCCACCTGCCCTGTACACCTGCTTCTGAAGTCTGTGTCAGAAAAATGTCCTCCCAAAACAGCAGATGCTACTGGAAGACTAAGGATTGGAATTTATTAGTGTTTTAGAGTCTTCCACCAAGTGTTCACAAACCACAACAGAGACTTGGACAGCCACAGCTGGAAATGCTCCACATCAGATTCATCAGATGTTCTGCATTGCTGTGGAGTCAGCCATACTGCCTTTGTCCACTTACTGAACTGGCATTCCTATCACTGCCACTATTAGAAACTGAAGCACAGAGTGCTACAGGATGTTCTACAGCTTTTGGGACTCTCCATCTGTGACTGGTATTTTTTGCCCTTGGCTACAATCCACGCATCCTGCAACAACCACAGTCCCAAAGTGCTCATTATCCAAAGGAATGAGAGAGATTCAGGGAGGGGAAACTGAGTCACAGAGGAATGTCACAGCTTATTCATGGGGAAAACAGTATGTTTCTAACAGTAGCAGAAAATGAAACACTTAGCATCATCAACATATTTACCAGCCTCCCTTCTTTCCCACATCCTGTATATTGAAAATAAGGCTTGTCCCTATTTTCTTCTGCTTCATGAACACTTGTTAAAGTATTAAGGTGTACAAAAGAAAAAGGCTCCCAGATATCACACTATGAGGCTAATTGACTGTTTTGAACTGCTCATTTTTCCCCATCCCTCACATCTTAAGAAGTCATGGCAGTAATATCAAAAGCAGCAGCCGAAAAAAGCTGATCAATGAGCCCTTAAAAGAAAACTCAGATAGATACAGCAGAGGCAGGCATAAAGAACCAAGGCCCTACAAGTCCCCTGACCCAGTAACTGCTGAAACACCCAGGAATCTAGTTCTTGATGTGTAGAGGAAACAAAGGTTCTTACATTATTTGTTGTCCAGCTTGCTTCCTACCTGCCCCCAGCACTGTTGAAATCCTTTGTCGTGAGTCATACAGGGTCCTGAGTCTCTCAGAAAAACCTGCCCAGAAGGCTGCCTTTCATAGAGGTAAGGATCTCAGTGCATCCTGACACACTGCTGCTGGTCAGGCCCACTCTGGGCAACACAGTTCTGGCCATGTTTTTTCCCTTTTTTTTTTTTTTTTTTTTTTTTTGGAGTTTTTTCATTTTTTTTTTTTTTTTAACTTGGAGCAATTGCTTTCATGAAAGCCTATTTCACTTCTACACAATCTTCTCCTTATCCTCCTTCCATTGTCTTCTCACCTTTTGCATCAAAACCCAATTTAAAAATTGGTTAATACTGAGAAGTTCAGATGCAAACATGGTTTACCAGGACAATTCACTGCAGGTTGGTCCTGGCACTCATCTTCCCAGGGAACTCTGGTCCCTACCATAGCCATGGGCAGCATCTGCAGGAGGCACAGGATGTCCTCACACATCAGTCTTGCTGTACACACGGTGTAAATCCAACATGCCAGATACACTGGGTGCAACCACACACCCTCAAAAGGGTTCAACTGGCTGCAGAGCAAAGCTGGGAAAGGCTGTTCTATATGGACCTTCTTTAGGCTAAGGGGTCTTTGTGATATATCAGACATAAAGGACTTAAATGACAGAGAATCACTGAAAGAGACACATGTGAGAAAAGGGGCCTTTTAATTCTTTTGCTTCCATCCATTCCCAGGGATGACAGCAACTCATTTGCACAAACTAAAAAAAAAAAACCAGAGAATTCAAAGATTTATCTTAAAAATCCTTCCCTTTTAATTACTCAGCAATTTTTCTTGTGAACAGAAACAAAATTATGATGGAAGCAAGCAAGTTCCAAGCTAATAAACATGGGCAATCCTTCAGTTATAAATTCTTGTAAAACACAGGAGGGGCTAGGAGGGTATCCATATTTTGGTATCACAGGACAGAAAATTGGAACAAAGAATGCAACTATAGAAATGGAGATATCTAAATCTTGAGAAACCCTATAAAATATAGAGCTCACAAGGAGCTGTTAACCACAGAAAGTATTTTTATTTTTATTAAGATGATTTAGAATAAGAGAAATAAAGGACACTCCTAGACAGAAAATGAATAAGCATGAGCTACCAAGAGACAAAAATAAGTATCAAAACCTCAAAGCAACCATTGAATACATTGCAGGCAACCAGTTCCTACAAAGATCAATGAAATACTTCCTCATGGCAACTGAGCTTCCATAGTACAGTCTCCCAAGATTTTATTACTGCTATTCCCAAACTCACCCAAAGTTTTCAAGGCCTCTTGCTTCGCTAGAAAACACACACTGTAGTAAAAGTAACTAAAAACCCAATAAGCTTTGCATTTTCTTTGAACCACTGCAGAGACCTCCTACACCCTGCAATCACCCCAAGCACTACATCTCCATTGAAGTTCTGTAAAAGCTAGAATAAGAAATTGTTTTCTTGCATCAGAGTATTTCTACTTCTAGAGTTAATAGCAAGTAACTCAAAATACAACAGTAAACTAAGATTTGTTTTAGAATAAACTAATAGATGATTATCTATATCCTTCTATCCTTCTGATGGATATCTTCATAGAGCACAAGATACAAACTAATGCAGAGTTCACGGAATAAGCATTACAGTATTTTTTACATTGCTGCTGACATCTTGCTTTTTGCAGCTTTATGAGGGGTTGTATTAAAAACAAGCTATTCAAACAATTAAATTTTTTTCTCTTTCAAAGCAGATAAACTATAATCACAGTTTTGTTTTTTAAATCACAGCTATCAACACACTGCTTCTCCCAACTCTTTGGCAAAGTTACAGGACTGCAGGAAACAGTCCACTCAAAGCTGCTGGCCTTGGAGCACACAGAAGCAATCTCCACTATTCAAAGACTATTTTGTGCTTTCTTAATTGTAATGGTGGCTTAAAGATGTTTAGCCCTTAACAATACATACTAAAGACAAAGGCTTAGAGCCACAAAGAGGTTTACACCATTTTAATCTCGCAGGCCCCCACTTGCCATTGTGTGTCTGGGCTGGCACTAAGCAGAAGCCCACCGAGGATATGCATTAATTGCTGTGCAAATGAAAAGAGCAGGTCACAGGTTCAAAACAGAAGGAAGGCTGTTAAAGCATGGAACCTTTCGGCACAGGGTGTTAGGCAAGATAAAAGGCACAGGGTACTTCTGTGCCTTGAAGTTCTCTAAGATCTACTCTCTGCCCAGCTTGAGCCAGACAAAAAATCACAAGAGCCAAGTAAGAGTTTTTGGCCTTGCACTTCAGGGAAAGTAAAGAACTTTGCCCTCAACACTCCTCTTAATTCAAGAAACTACAGCCCTACCACCAAAGCCTTGCAACTAGAGTTGGCTTTTTTCAGACCCCTCTAGCAGCTGTTCACAGCCCTCATCCCTCTTGCAACTGTAGATGCATCATGTACTTCCCTTCTTAACAGAACAAAAAATAGCACACAAAGTTAAAACACCTCCATGTATAGGCACATTTTGCCCTCAACTCCAGCGAGAGAGCTACATACAGAAGACATAGCTACTCACATCTGCATCTTTCTTAGCAGTCAAGAGAGCTCTTCAGTTTTGCAAACATACAAGAAAATGAGTCTTCCCAGCTTCCTCAGCCTGGCTTTTGGCTGATCTGCCCTCTTCTTGATGAGAAATGATATTTCACTCTCCCTTTCTGCTTCCCTTCTTTCAAAACATTATGGAACTCCTTGCTAGATAACTATTACTAACTATCAAATTCCCAGTTGGATGATTTAACAATCAGTGACAATATAATGTGGTTTTCCCATTATAAGCAGGCTCTGCTCTATTAGCTGTGTCCTTATAATCAGATCCATCATAAAATTTCACACAATTTATGTATTTAGAAATTTTATTAGAAGCACACACACTAAACCACCTAAAAATCCCAAACCCATTATGGACACACTTAATTCAAAATATCAATTTTCAGTGATATTAACCTAAATTAATTTAGACATCAGGACAATGTTTAAATATATTAATACTGCTTCTCCCTAAACCCACAGATTCTCTTCTTCCAGTATCAAGTCAGTACAGTACCTGGATAGATTTCTTATTTCTTGTTTGCAGTGACTGAGTGACTGGTAAAACACAGGTGATAATGCAGCTGTTTAAATCCTGATCCATCCTTTGACCTAAGCTTGTTAGAGAATAAAGCTGAGAATTCTGGGATGATAAACTTAGAACCTATCCTTCACAGGATGTCAATACTGCAGCTACATTTTCCCATTATTTTATTATATTATCCAGAGAAGAGCTCACATGTTGCTTCATGGAAAAAACATTTACAAACTGACCAGAGAGCACTAAAAGAAACACTTATTTTCCAAATATGCACATTTTCTACCACGGTGTAGGTTTTTGTCAAATTTCCTGTTCACACAGAGTGAACAGACAAAGGACAATATTCAAGATATGTCAATACAGTGTAACCATGATGCTGTAGTCTTTTAATCCTATCCTATTAACATATCTATTTAAATCTATAAATATTTTTTTTCGATTTCACCTGTAGATACTGGAAGTCCTTATATAAGGAAGAGGAGAACTTTCAGCTAAAATGTTTTGCTCTTGCAAATGAACCTAAATCTACAAAGCAACACAATGTGTCCACAGAACAGCAGAGACAGAAAATGTACAAGAAATCCTTGTTCGCAAAACATTTTGAATACCTTGAGTCTGCTAACCATAAAGCACACTTTTCTTTACCAAAATTCATTGTTGTTTTAACTTGTGGGCAATCAAGTCACATGCGTGTCAAATAAGATGCCACAGGACTCATTCAGAGGATGTAGCTTTATGTGCAAGAACCAAACATGGCATCACTTGTTTCAGCCCCCAGTGCTGAGATCTCTTCATGGGACTGCACCAGCAATGCAGTTTTAATAGGCAACACAAACTACTGCAAAATATAAAAATCAACTCAAGTTATACTCACTGTAATTTGGGAAGCATCCATGAATTGCAGGCCAAAGTAATCCGTTTCTACAAGGTCCAAATGATACACAATCTGGTCAAACAACTCCTGTCCCTTTGCATTTTTCTGTAACAGAAAAGAAAACATTTTTTTTCAAACTGGTCAGTGTGGGGTTGTTTGGGTGTGTTTCTTTTCAAATTCAAACGTCTGAGAAGAGATACACAAAAGAAAATAATATCAAAAGAGCAATTATATTTATTCTGGAGAATTGCATGGACACTTATTTGTATTTTCATTAGGAGAGTGACATGCCATTCTTGTCTGAAGCTAGTCCAACAGCATCAGATTTCACTGTCAAAGAAAGCTTTCAAAGTTCATCCTAATTAAAAATGTACAAGAAAAAGGGAAGGCTTATGCCCTACAAGTGTCCTAAGTCACAGAGCCATCATTTTGTACCCCATTTTGTTCTCCAGGAAAAGCTTGCTTAACACACTGCCTGAAATCTGCTGGCTATCAACAGCAACTGCAGTCATGCAGTGCCACACCACCACTGAAGCTGCAAAATAAATTCTGGACAGCCTGAATACTCAAAGAGCACTGTGAAGAAAATTAATGAGATTTGATAAGATTTCATTTATGTTGCCAACTGCCATCATATTTACAGCCTTTAAATGAAGAAACAAACAAGGGCCAAAAAAGCTGTAAATCTTACTTGGCATGCCATCTGAAACATGCAGGCATGGAAATAAAAGTTAACTGCTAAAACCCCAACTATGGCCTACAGGTAAGGGTAGAAAACTTAGCAGATCTTAAAGCTAGGCTGCATTGGACTGAGTACTTGTTTTGAGGTTAAGGCAAGAATTTAGATACTAAATCTTCAACACTAGAAAACCAAAACTTGAAGATTACAGGTGGGCAGAAGGAAATAACAAACCATTTTTTCATGCAAATCCTGTTGAGTAACTTGAGGAAGAAATTTTCAAGCTCTTGAGCAAAAACACCCCTTGGCCAAAAATACATGAGATGATCATAAATCTGAGTAAGAGACTAAAGCTACAGCTGTACTTTATACAGGGAAGTACTGAGCAGGATCCACTTTTGTGACTGCTGTCCCTCTTAAAACTTTAAGGATTTTTTTCCCCCCAATTTTTATTTTTAAAAACTAACCTATTAGGCATTTCCCCTTTACCCCAAAATGTAGCAAAATTCATAGTTAAGCATTCAGTTCCTTTAGTTTGATCTTCTGCATGAAGGCACTATCAATCACAACATGCAGAACTCCTGTTCAGGATTCTAGGCTCTCTGAAGTCAGTTTTCTTCAGCAACAGACAAGATGACGAGTTACACCTCTGTTTTTCCAAGAAAGTCAACCAACCTCAGGTATAGGTAGCAAATTTTATTTAAGTTTTATATTTTAGGATTGTTTTAACTAACAAAACAGAAGCACAGAAATTGGATAGTATCAAATTTCAAGAGCAAAATTAAAGCTTAATACCAACATTAAACTCTCATTGTAAGGTATTGTTTCTTTATTTTGAGGGGGGCAAGAGGTGGATAATAGACATTATTAACCAAAGTTCAACATCCTATTAAAGGCAAATGAGAATACAATGGCTTCTTAAAACAGTACATTGCTAAGAAGTCATCATCTTTACTTGTAGAGTAATTGTTATAAACGGAACAAAAAGTATCCAGAACATATTTTCTCATATGAAATAAAATCAGCACTTGTTAAAAGAAGCCAAATCAAAGCGCAACAAAATTTAAACAGATTTTGCTTAAGTGAAGGAGGAGAAAATCCTCAAAAGCAATAAAAAGAAACAGTAGAACATGAAAAATTCTAATTGTAGGAAAAATGCACTTGATGCCCTACTCTGCTCATGGTTGCTTGCTTTATGGCATTAAATGCCAGTATATGTTTATCTTCCACTGCCACACACCCAATAGAAACCACAGAGAGCACACTCCACCTTCTGTACCCAAGCAGTAGTTAATGTTTAACATGTGTTACACGCAGAATAGCTCTGCACTGCACAGCTAGACCATAAAATGCAGTATTACATACACAGCTTACAGGAGATCGTAACATTTAACTTGTCACTAAATGAGCTTTCCCAGCAACCTGTACCCCTTATATGATAAAGCTGCTGAAGCCAGCAAACTGCTGACCCAAAACTTTCTTTGAGATGTTGCACTACAGGGGGAGATAAAAGCAACTGACTCCTTTCCTCTACTAACAGTAAAGGATTACCTGTTCTTTATTCTGCCTCATCACTGGCTGACAATCCAGCAGGTCAGATTGTGGACTGATACATTAATGTGCATTGAATGAAATGGGTGGAATAGTCAAAATAGAAGACTTTTTCCTTGGGCATCACAAATGCATGATGGTGGTCTCTAAAGCAAAAAATGTCTGTATTACAATAAAATTTTGATTTTCACTGTCTCTTCTCTCCTCCTCCTAGGTAAAACAGTAGCTAAAAAATGTTTCTCCTTTCAAGATCTGGTGCCACAAAGATAAGAAAATTATTTGTACAGTAAAATTTTCATAGTAGATCTAATCATCTGGAATTTAATAAATCATACTCTCTCTACAGACCTTTGACTTGTGCTTATTTTCTGAAAATACAGCTAAAAACCTCCAACCATAAACTAAAAATATTTTGCAGTGATACCTTGCTAGACAGAAGGTTCAGAAGTATCAGATGTAAATGGCTTGCAGAACTTATATATCACAAAATTAAGTACATGGCAACAAACAGTATGCATATAGTATTATATAGAATTACTATTTTGTTGGTATGGAAGTTACTATAATTGGGACAAATAATGTAAGAATGTTGCAAAACCTTGTGTTGACTTGGGTTTTTTTGTTTGTTTCTGCTGGGTTTTTGTTCCTGTTGGTTTTTTTTTTGTTTGTTTGGTTTTTTTTTTTTTTTTTTTTTTTTTTTTTTTTTTTTTTTTTTTTTTTTTTTTTTTTTTTTTTTTTTTTTTTTTTTGTCTTTTTTTTCTATTTTGGTAGAATTTTCTCTTTGGTTTGTGAGTTTTTGTTTGGGTTTCTTGTTTTGTTTTGAAACATCACTTAAAGCATTGCCAGTTTCTGGTGGAGAGTTCCTTGGAACTCAGGAGAAATCTGGTGAGCACCATGAAACCTCACAGGCAAGCACTGGGAGGGTGGGCATGAAATGTTCAGCTTACAAACAAAACTATAGCGGCAACCTAAGGCAAAACTGAATTAGCATGAGGCAGGCACTTGATGAAACACAAAGACTGAATTACACTTGCAGACTGGGAACCTCCCTGATAATGAGCAATCACTGAGAGAAAGGGGGGGAAAAGTTTCTCATGTCAGTTGCCCCTGTTCCACCTAACAATTATGCGAGTTTTGTCCACTGTTTCATTAAAGCCATTCTCAAATAAACCCCCCTATCATCTTCCCTGGGACCATGAACCACATTCAAAGAGAATTCTTACGTTAAATGAGGACTCACTGCAAATCCTACAAGGACTCCAATTGGGATAAAGCACCTTGCACAACAACAGTGACAGCTGCATGGCCCACATTTCAAGTAGGCTACAGTTTTGCCTGCCAGAGAGTTCCCCAGTCTCAGGGAATCTATCGAAATTCTTGTCAGCTAAAACATGACAAAACAAAGATTAACTTCTCTAATTAGAAACTCTTCCAGACTTGACATGGAAATAGACAGGAGATTTTAATGTGCTTCTGGTAGACATGAACAAAAGAGAAAATTTATCAGCCAGGGACATTTTACACCAACTGGCCCTGTCTCAACAAGATGATTAGTGTTGATTTAGCTGTTCCAGAGCTCTCTGAAAGATTTTTTGCCAAAGGGCATGAAAAGTGGATATACATCCCAGAAAAGTCCAATTTTAGTGCAGATACAGTGCAAGGATGCCATTGATCACTCTCAGAGCACATACAAGCCAAGTTACAGAGCTTCTGCCCATGTTTTCCCCAAACCCAAGTGGAGAGGCTGAAATTCTTGAGTCATATTATATAGAGCTCAGAGACTGCAGGGCTACAAACAAACCATTAACAGATTTCAGAAATAGTTGAAGCACTGCTTGGGAAAAAAAACCTGTCAAATAGGCCAAGGGGTATCTGAAATAGTCTGCTAGCTGACAAAATGACAACCAAAATTAAGGAAAATAAGTTATTGTCAAGAGAAAAGTCAAAGCCAATTAGCTTTCCCATCAAAGCCAATGCACCTCAAACTGAATAGTGAGTAGCAACAGCAATGGGTAGGTAGGGCAGGCTTAGTTTCTGTTTTGAAAGAAAGCACAAGATTGTGTATTCTGCAATGCATTCAATATTTTTGCAGAGTTGGCTGCTATGGGCTGATGGTCACTCACTCCAGGTCTGAGCTTCTAGTAAATTCTCTTTAAGAACCTTTGTAGCTAGCAAGTCTCACCTCCACAGGCCTGATAGTGCCCTGCTCTGATGGCACCAGCATTGCCTCTCCCTGGCACCTCCTGAAAACAAGAGTAGCTCAATATGTTCTGCTCAGTCCTCTTACACCTGAACTGTTATTAACTCAATTTTCAAACCTAAAGCTCATTTTCAAACGTACGGCTTTATCTGCTGGCCATACTGCTTAGCAGTGAGAATTTGCTTTGCCTTTTAGCAGTCATTGGCAGTGCTGTCTCCAAGTGTTTCAGACAGGCTAAACATGCATAAAAGCCATCTGTGCTCCTAATTAGCCTTGACTCCTGGTGCTCAGTTATCATCTGTCCTTTAACTTGCTTTCTTCTGGATAGTCAACCCCTCAGTTGCACAAACCCACTCAGCTGTACTGAAAGCCAGCAGTAGTTCCATAATTTTAAGCAGAGAAATGCAACTGTTCTACATTCTTATAAATCCAGGGTATTTAACAGCTTCTTCCAAGTACATGTTGGAGGCCATGGCTGGGCTTGCAAAAGCTGCATTGAAAATCACGATATCCATCCCAGTACTGCTGCTGCAGGCAGTATTGTCAAAGTCAGTCGCTTGTTTTCAAATTCCAGTGTGCACGCTGCCATCCAGAGAGGACACTCTGGGAAAGGGCACGCTGCAAACCAGCCATGACCTTGGTGCCTGTCCCATCCTCCTCTGGTGGCCTAATGAG